GAAGGAGATCATTGAAAAACACGAACGAGGTGTGTGTCTGCATCCGGATTTTTAGGTATTTTTGGGTTGGGGGTGTGGGGGGGGCATTCATATAGGAAGGAGAGAGCAACTTTTGAATATCTGTCCACTGCAGTGACCAGTGTTACTGAAAAGGTTAAAATCACAATGTATTTTTTTTTTCAAGCAGTCCCAAGCAATGACAGTCTGTATTTTTTTTTTTTTCGTTTTTGCTGAGGATACAGCATTACGGCATTCATCTTTGCTGTTATTAATCATATTGTCATAGGCCATTAGATATGCACGCCGTGTATGGATGTGCTCTTGTTGTGGTAACTATGTTGCCATTTATCTGTAGTCATCACCATAACAATGTGCGCAGGAGCGCATTGTTTTAATTAGGGCTACACAAACATAATGAGAGCAAATTACATCCAAGGCATCTCTGGAGGCTCCGTGTTAGTGTCGCTGCTCCACCATGTCATGGCAGTTCATGTGTTCACACTCTCTGTAGACCACGCGGAGTGACGACGGTGCCACCACAGCAGGATCTCACACGGAGAAGCACGCACACATACACACACGCGCCGTGTCATTCACGATCGGTTTTCGACCTCCAATCTCAAATCAGCCAAGTCCAATTTCATCTGCCTCACAGCCGATGGCCTCGGTGACAAACTGTTGAATGTTTTCCACTTATTTATTTATTTATTTTGGGGAGGGGGTGAGGGCTTTGCTTTCCAATTTCTGCTTTTTTGGTGTGTGTTTGTGAACATGGGAGAAGAAGAAGGTGAGTGTGACTGAGACCAATGGAGGGCTTCCATTGATGTATTATCCAAAAGCAATTTTCTTTGTTAAGAACCTGAGCAAATCCTTGCACCCGTGTCCTTAAAACACCCGTGCTGTTCAAATAGGAAAGGTAGTTGCAGCTATCAGTGCTGCTAAAATGAGGTTCGGCCCTGCTCCGTTATTAGCGCTACATTTCTCACGTTTATCTTGTTCTATATTGCGACAAAAGGGGCACCAAACTTTTGGGCTGAGATGTAATATTTTGTGAGCGCACATGAATAAGTGTCATTAGCCGTTCATTGAATTGGTTTTAAAATGTCCATTAACAAATGTGTAATTGAAAATGAAGCAAAGTGTGTTAGAACCTGTGTTTTTTTTTTTTTTTAAATAACAGTTAGTTCCGAGCGAGCGCGGTGTTGCAATTGACATAATGGTGATTAACTGACTGGTTTATTATGGAGCTTCCCAGGTAGGAGCAGCTGGGGGGTTGCAGGACTCTGTCCTCATTTAGTTCAGTAATCAAGCCCTTCCGTGAATCGAAGATAACATTACCTCAACCGTCATAGTAGCGAAACATCATTGCGCTAACGAAATTAGCAAGCGCTAGCATAGATCTTACCATTTTTTTATGCATGTCGCGGAACAACATTTTCTGACATAAAGCGTCACAGAACCGTTCATCGATAACAACACAACTTGTACATAGCCGCGATGCTACGAAAGATGTGAAATGCGCGTGGATTGTGCTGGATTAGAATTCGACTACCATCACGTTCCTCTCGTTTCCGATCTATCGCTTTTACTTCCTGCTTCCGCATACGCGAATTCTGCTTTGATGACGCCATATCCGGTTGCGAACTTCGCTGCTCTCCAGTGAAACCAATACAGTTAAGTTGCATAAAAAAATACTCTCAGCTATCTGTAGAAATATTAAGGTTACTTTAGTGTAACTTAAATGCAACATTCGAATTTAAATTGCATCTAAATTGCGGGCAGAACAGTACTACTTTCCTATTTAACAGGACTTTGGCGCCATGTTTTGGCATTTGAGGGTGTTTTTCCGAAAAGGCATTTCGGAAAAACACATATAAGCTATCCAGGTAAGAGTTGAAGATGGTTTGGACAGAGAAAAAAAAAACACAAACAGGTGAATTTGTACGTACATAAAAAGTTTTAAGAACTCATGGCTTAAAAAAAAAAAAAAGCTCTGCAGTTAAACTTGCTGTTCATCTCCAGTAACTATTTATGGGACTGTGAAAGATCAAAGGCTGATCAAGTCAGGAAAAAACAGCTTTCAACACATTTCTACACACGTTAGTGATATCAGAATAGACTGATTATGTATCCCAAGAGATGCGCTGATATTTCAAAACCACTTTGACCGTTTTCTGCTGCTGCAAAGCTGTCCCGCAAAGGCTGCTGTATTATTCAAGGCGTCAGTTCAATCTATTTGCCCTAAATCATACAAGTAGGAAATGACGGCAATCGCATCCATAATTCACTGACAGCAAGTGCAGGTGTTCGTTCTCGCTATTGTCCAAGTGTGAAGATTTAAGCAGTCACTTACATGAATGGCAAGCGATGGAGGTTCAATTTACTGTTTCAGTGAGCCATAATCACAATGAGGCTGAGCCAGTTTAGAACAGTCAGATGGAATGGAGGCAGCGAAAGATGATCCCGAGTGCACATATTGGTTTGCTGGTCCATGCACAGAAAAAGATCAGATGCCATTAGTCTCCATTTGCACCATTTGTTGCCAACAAAAGTTCCTAAAATGTGCTGATTTTGATTGTCTTTTTAGTTTATGCAGTGGTGACGTTTAGATTGCTTTCATAAATTAGTAGCTGTTTTTTTTTCTTCCTTTTTCATTGTCAGCCTCAGAAAAAAAATCCCAAAAGTCTCACTTTTGTATTTAATAATCTGTTTGACAGTGAAACATTTACTTTTTTTTTTTAGCTGTACCAACAGGCATTATGAGCTTTTATATACAATAACCTCTACCTTCTGTGCATGCAGAAGCACAACTACTGGAATATCCCTACACCTATTTTCTCATCCGTTTATCCTTACGTGGGTCGCGGGGCGTGCTGGAGCCTATCTCAGCCGTCTTCGGGCAGTAGGCGGGGGACACCCTGAACTGGTTGCCAGCCAATCGCAGAGCACACATAGACGAACAGCCATTCTTACTCACAGTTACTTCTACGGACAATTTAGAGCAGTGGTCCTCAACCTTTTTTGCCCCGCGGACCGATTTAATGTCAGACAATGTTTTTAGGGACCGGCCTTTAAGGTGTGTTGGATAAATACAACCAAACAATATGATATGACCTGCATGAAAAGTGTATTTTCTCAACACAATAGTAAACACGAATCATGACACGAGGAATGTTCTATCTGGCCACAACACTCTCTGATAGTTGTGGTGATGTTTAAACGTGTCTTCAAAATAAGATTCACCACAAATACAAAGTGCATGAAAAATACGACTCACCATCATGGTAACCTATCACGTGACCGAGAAGCGCACCTTGACCTGCGTCAAGAGTGACATACTGTGTAGACGGATGTAACTAAAAATCCGGTAATTTTTCAAAATAAAACATTTCAGATTGCGAAATAAATCAAACTGAAGTAATGTAAATTATTTATTCTTTCTGTTCGGCCCGGTACCAAATGACCCACGGACCACTACCGGTCCACGGCCTGGGGATTAGGGACCGCTGATTTAAGATAAGATAACCTTTATTTGTCCCACACCGGAAAAATTTAGAGTGTTCCACCAACCTACCGGAAAAATTTAGAGTGTTCCACTAACCTGCCATGCACGTTTTTGGAATGCGGGGGAAAACCGGAGTACCCGTAGAAAACCCACGCAGGCACGGGGAGAACATGCAAACTCCACACAGGGAGGACAGAACTGGAATCTCTGCACTGTTCCCCCGAGGCGCTAACCAGTCAACCAATGCTCTCTTATATAGATAGATAGATAGATATGAATGTGCTACAAGCTAGGGGTCTTTCGTACTCACAAAGTTCGGCAGCTGCAGCAGGTTGAATGCTGCATCGGCTCGTGGTCACCTGCAGGGCGATGCACACATCAGCAGGCTCTCACTCAAAATGCCATTTGCAATGCGTAGCTTCAGCGCATGTGTCTTTTCCAACCTGGAGGTCATGTGGGCAAAAATAGCCGGCTGTCCACTCTTTCCAACCCACTGAAACTTTCGCTCGTGTTATCTCGAGACCTCAGCCTCTTGACGCTCCACCTTCCTGTGTGTGTTGTAGTTCTACTTCGCGAGGAAGTGGCCCAACTGCAGGAAGAGGTGCACCTGCTGCGCCAGATGAAGGACATGTTGAGTAAGGACCTGGAGGAGAGCCAAGGAGGATGTTCGGCCGACGTGCTTTCTGCCACCGAGCTCCGCGTGCAGGTGGCCCAAAAGGAGCAGGAGCTGGACCGAGCCAAGGAGGCTTTGCAAGGTCAGAACTTCAGAAGGGCAGCAACTAGCTGTGTGTGCTCTTGAAAATGCACAATAACGTCAACCTTATGAACTGCTGTCATCTCATTGTCACGGTAATTAAATATAAAGAGTCGGGCTCCCCTTCATTACTTGAAATGGTTGAATTGACGATATCAAAGAGATTAGTTTACGCTATATATTTATTACTGTGGTTTTAGCGCACATCAACAGAGTTCCTCTTCGTTGATGAGGTTTGCTGCAGTACATCCTACTGTGCATTAAAGTTCAATGCTTAAAAGAGAATTAAGAATTGCCTGCGGAGTGTCTATTTATTTTTTATGACCAGATCTGAAAGCAGGGGATTATTTTCATGTCCCTATAATGAGAATGAGATGTTAACTGCTGCATATTGGTCGTATTATGGACCGCCGCTTCGTGTTTTGGCCTGTGAGGTGCTGCTGCAGTTCACTGAGACACGTGTGCAATGGTTTCAAATTTCAGTTCTTTTTTTTTTTTGTTTTTTTTTTTTTGTTTAGTAAGGCTGGAAACACTCAAATGTTAAGATTTTTTTGTTTTGTTTTTGTCCTCTTTCTCTCTCTCAGGCTCTGCATATGATTTTATATTGTAATTTATTTTTTAGCATTGTGATAAATGCAAGACAGCTATTGGTCTGTATGCCGACGTGACTGTTAAAAATACTTTTGGCAGTTGTGTCAAGCAGTGGTTGCCAGAGTTTATACAACAATGATGATGATGATGATGCAACCACCGGGATGTGAAAATCAACTCATAAGTTACTGGACTGTGTCTTTACTTGACAGTTCATTTGGACTTGTATCATACACGAAATCTTTGCACTGGGAAGGAATGTAAAAGTCTCCCGACTGACGAAAGACCAATCCCGCAATGTTGTGACAGTAATCAGCTGCTCATAAAAGCTTCAAGAAGGGGAATTTGGTATGGCTTACAAGGTCCGGAAATGTCAAGCGAGGGGGGGTAGGGTGGGGGGGCTGTTTACCATGAAAACAGCGTGTGAAAGAAGGCAACAGGAAATTGTCAGTTTGTTGGGGGTAACTTTTACGCATTAACTGTGGAAGTTGTTTCTTTTTCTGGGGATGGATCGTCTTTGGAGAAAAAGAGAACTGGCATGAACGAGGAAAAATATGACAATGTTATCGCAATATTTGTGTTTTACATGCCGTATGTTCATTCGGTGATATGAATAAAAATTGTTGTTAAACTTCAGCTTGATAATTTGAACAGCATAACAAAGTATACAATTCATATATCCGTGTGTCATTGACGTGTTTACACTGTGTTACATGTTCGTGTTTTTTTTTCTATAAATGATCAGACTGTATTAGACGTCCTAGTTGGCGGGCATTTTATTGGAAATGGCTACAACGAAATACCGTTCTAATGTACAGATCCGTTATGTAGGTACGTTGTAACGAGGTTCGACCGTATAGGTAAACAATTTTAAACGGTAGAGGATTCTCGGTGCACTCAGAAAAAAAATAATCGTTTCTTTATTACCTTGAAATGAATGCTGCGGGGTCAGGAATCCGTAATAACCAGTGGAAGCTATGGCGCTCCTTATTCGTATTCTTAGACATAACACACATATCCCATGCATTAACATTTCTCTTAACAACCTCTTCCAAAAAAGGATTTTTGAACATTCAAAATCATTTAAGATGGAATTCGGTGTCTTGCATGCTTAAAGCTCTTGTGTCAACAGAAAATTGTAGAGCTCGGCCTTTATCAACTGTCTGAAGTGTCCATATTTCCTGTTTGGCAACCAATGATATACAATGTTGTATCCCTTCCTGTGTGGGCAGTCGAAGCTGTTCAGGAGCAAAGTACCATGAAAGCGGGCCGGCACACAAAGGCTTTTAACACATTGCGGGAACGGATGTTTCCATGAAACACAAGGGTTTTGGCAGTGGGAGGTATGGGCCAGTTTGGAAAGAGATTCGGGAATAGAACCGAGGCACTTGTGTTGTAATCAACAGCTACTTGCTCGAAAAACATTGCTCCCTCTCTATGTCGCCTTGTGCCACTCGTGCCGTGCCTCAGCTGGTGATCGGATACCTTGAAAAAAATTGAATTGCAGTCCACGTTTAGGCCACAAATCCACCAAGCAGTACAATTGGTGTGTCGGTGGGTTTGTGAGTGGGTC